ATGGATTGTTGTGCTCGGCAAACAAGTAATGCTTGTTCGAGATGCGGAGGAGATCACAATGCTAATTCGTGTCGTCACTCGCATCCCCAAGTAGATATAACACCTTTGGTGGACGAATGAGAGCATCAGAGTGATTAGGTTGTTGTTGTATTTTGTATAACACCTTCTTATGCAGTGTCATCTCTTGGAATGAAAGTTAAATTCGTATCTTGTTTGATGTTTGTATTGAACTATTTGTGTACTATCATAGAGTACAGTGTGGTGGAACTTGTTGGATGTGTACATGTTTTGGGAATTGATAATACTAAATTCAACATTTTAAAATTGGGTAACCCTAGGACTTGCCAAATTCGAGACTTACCATTTTTTATACGACTCAGATTTGACAAATCCAAATCTGCCCTGTTTTTGGATTGCAGGAAGCCTCGGTTGATTCGGATTTGGCAAATTCGAAGACATTGTGGGCTGATCTCTCGGATTTGCCAAATGTAGAAGTACTATTTGGTCTCCGGGTTGATGGGGACATGGTTTGTGGTGTAGCGCCAAACAGTGTTGTGGCGCAATGGCAATCAATTTGCCAAGAGATGTTGGGATCCACTCCTACCGAGGGTCGAATAAGTGAAAATAGTCTTAAGATTTCGGTTGTAGAGGAAGCGGCAAAACGTGCAATCCCTGAAGGTAATTTTTAAATTTATTTATATTTTTTTAATGTAATTTGTATTAGTTACTTTTTTGGCCAAACAAATATTAAGGTTTGAAGTGTTGTTTTTGTAGGTTATCCGGAGGACGTTTATCAACAAAGGGCCCGATTAATGTTCCTGTGGTTTATGGGTTCTTTTATATTTTCAGACATAAACCAAACAATGTTGGTTTATATTTATTGAACCATTTAGCGGATTTTAATCATTGTGCAAAACTTAGTTGGGGATCAGCTCTACTTGCTTACTTGTATTTTAGCCTGTGCGAGGCTAGTCATCATGAGAAACTAACCGGCTGTGTATATCTTTTATAGGTATTTATTTATTCAATACGTGACAATTCAATTTGAAAAACATTTATTATATTGTGAAGTATTATTATTTATTGTTGTTGTTAGTGATTTAGGTTTGGACATATGAGCGGATCCCGAGACTCATGCCCCAAAGAATTTTAAAGAGATTTGAAGAGGATCCTATAGCTCCTTTAGTTTATCGGTGAGTTTATTTTCTATACTCTTAATTTAAAGATTACTTTAATCATTATTATTTTTATTGGATCAATAATACCTTTGATTTTTTTTGTATTGAAAGGTGGAATTGCTCGTACTCCTACAAGGACGTCCCAAGGTCTAGTTTCCCGGGTTCTAGAGATCAATTGACCGCCTTAAAAACCAGTGATGTAAGCATGAATCACTTCTTATTTTATTATTAATTTTTTTTTTTGCCACCATTCTTACGTGAATTAATTTGTTAATTCTTAATTTTTTTCACAGTTTGTTTGGCAACCCTGTGAGGATCTCCTCCCTACCCTCCCTGATTGTTGTAAACATGGAAGTGTCATTTGGATGGCAAGGACGTGGATGTTCTACTGGGCTGTCCGAAAACCCCACGAAATTGACAGGGTCGCGAGATAGTTTGGCTACATTCAAGCTATTCTCCGATGTCCTATGATTGCCAATATCCAAGAGAATCAGAATGCTCACGTACGCAATATGTCTGGGCTTACTGAGAAAAATTGAGTGGATCACCATAGTTAAGTACGCCCCCATTGGAATAGGAGACACCGAAACATTCCACAGGATTTGGAGGAAGGAGAGCCCGGTCAAACTGAGGAGAAGTACGAAGCGTGGCATAACAAAGGTTCAGTGAAATTGATAAGCGATCCGAGCCACTACATATCAGCCGGATATGAGTCTTCCTCGAGCCGGGTGAAAGTTTATGTAACTGTTTATTTGTAATTAATCTATGTATGGAAGTGCATTTTACTTTATTCATATAAATTTGGAATTATACTCCTTTAGTTAACGCATTATTTGATTTCCAGGATGAAGTGCTGAACAATGTCCGTATGAGGGCCATATCATTCCGAGAAGAACATTGTAGAGCCCATGACCTAGACGAAGAGCTCGAAAATGTGATCGACTATTTTGCGGACGTAACCCACACTGCTTTAACTCTCGGAAAGGACGATGAGATGGAAATTGAGGATTCTCAAATCCTTGTGAAGTATGATCAAGTCGCCCTTCACAAGGTCCGCGCGGTGAAACAATGAAACCGTGGAAGAGATTAGAGGAAGAAGAAAGTGAAGAATCCTTTCAGACCATCACAATCGCAAGATCACGTGGAAGGTCCGGGCCAACACGAGCAAGAGAACCTAAGAGGAGAGAATGTGAGAGGAGAGGAGGAAATGGGAGGAGACAATGTGAGAAGAGAGGATGATGTTGGTTTTTGGAGAGGATTTTACACCCCACATGAAGAAGAGGTACCTCTCACCATTACTGTCGGAGGAGAATCGCAAGTCCTAAACGTGGAGTGTTACAATCCTTCCAGAGCCGTAGGAACAAGCGGTTAACAAATTCGACAGAATGCGCAACCCGCCGGATAACTTTACCCTGCCCACTATTCCTAGGAGAAAAAAATGATTATTGATTAGTATTTTTTAAGAATTTAACATTATTTTGTTATGCAAATGTTATCGTTTTATTGTTCAATTAGTTTGTTATGAATTTGTTGTTGGTGCTGTTTAAACAGGGTTAAGACTGGTGAAAACTAGTGCATTATTTTTTTCCAAGTTTTTGGTAAGTTTTGGATTTGTCAAATCCGAATGCTACCGTTTTGGTATGTCTCGGATTTAGCAAATTCGAGAGTTTTGCAGAATCTGCGGAGTTCGGAGACTCGTCCTTTCTATTTTAACACTTAGATTTTTTTTTTCAGAATTTAAAATAATATTTTATTCCATATTTCGGATTTCGGATTTCGGAAATTCGAAACAGTTCGTTTCGGATTTGGGTGATCCGTTTCTAGTCAACTTTAATTTTCGAACATTTAAATTTTTTTTGTAAAATAATTTTTTTTATTGAAACCTTTCGGATTTTGCAAAATCGAATTCCGATTAATTTTAATTAATTATTTAATTTAATTTAATTAATTTCAGATTTGAACGTTTTCGGATTAGCCAAATCCGAAATAATCAACTCTCGAATTTGCGAAATTCGACAGGAGGGAGCTCTTGTTTTTTGCAAATTCAGAACATCTACTTCTGTCCATCTTTTTTTTTCACATTATTTTTGTCCAGGTTCTTCCCTTGATAATTTTTTGGGTAAAAGCTCTTTAGTTTGCTGTTTTAATTAAGTAATAATAATAAATATATATAAGTATATTATATATACTATGGATGTCGACTTTTGTCGTATACTCTATATATTGCAAAACAGAGTAGTCTGTGGACGAAAAATGAAATCCATTATATTAGTTTTAAATTTTAACTGGCTTTTGATGGGTTGATTTTTTGGTAATAAATAAATTAATGTTTAGAAGTTAATATTTTAATTAGTTTTATTGATTACTTGCATAAACTTTTCGTTTTTTTTTTATCAGCATTATTTTTTTAACCACCTACTATTTAACCACCTACTACTACTAGTCCCTTTAACCCTATTAAAGCAGAAGACATAAAACTTATGTGGCAACTACGTATGCATCTGTTTTGGCTCCAATGCACCATATTTCAAATTTCAGAATTCTTTTTGCCACGTGTGAGTCTCTTTTAATTAGAAGCTATATAATTTTTTTTTTAAAAAAAAATACATGTTTTACTACAAATAAGAATCAGTTACATTTCAAACGAATGGATATATTAATTCAAATTCAAATGTCCAATCGTATAGTTTTGCAGGCTTAATATAAACAAAAAATAAAAATATCCAAATCCAGCAATTAAGAATAATGCGTTATAAACTAATTATTTATTATTCCCTTATAACCTCAGATTTATAGGTATATTTTTTAAGCCCCAAATCATAGCATAAATGATATATACGTCAAATTAATTCCTCAAAAAATAATTATTCAATTAGATTTTAATAGAATAGTAATTTAGAGGGGGCGCTCGGATATCCGTCCGGCCAAGGATCTAGTTTGCATTAAAAACACCCCCAGTAGTCACAAATCCCTTTAACCCTATTAAAGCAGAAGACATAAAACTTATGTGGCAACTACGTATGCATCTGTTTTGGCTCCAATGCACCATATTTCAAATTTCAAAATTCTTTTTGCCATGTGTGAGTCTCTTTTAATTAGAAGCTATATAATTTTTTTTAAAAAAAAAAAACACATGTTTTACTACAAATAAGAATCAGTTACATTTCAAACGAATGGATATATTAATTCAAATTCAAATGTCCAATCGTATAGTTTTGCAGGCTTAATATAAACAAAAAATAAAAATATCCAAATCCAGCAATTAAGAATAATGCGTTATAAACTAATTATTTATTATTCCCTTATAACCTCAGATTTATAAGTATATTTTTTAAGCCCCAAATCATAGCATAAATGATATATACGTCAAATTAATTCCTCAAAAAATAATAATTCAATTAGATTTTAATAGAATAGTAATTTAGAGGGCGCGCCCGGATATCCGTCCGGCCAAGGATCTAGTTTGCATTAAAAACACCCCCAGTAGTCACAAATCAACATACAATACAGACTTATTGTTTTTGCCTTTTACCACATATCGGAAAGCACACCCGGTTCAAAATTAATAAAGAGCATTTCGTTTATCACTTGGTCCTTGGTTTTCATAAGCCGATTAAAAACTCGACGTGTTTGGATTATTAACATTTTTAACTATTATTAATTTTTATAATTTTAATTGAAAATTTTTTGTTGCATTGTCTTTTTCGTTGATTCATCAGTCAATGTAATAGTCATCGCATGTAGTTTTTGGTTAAAATTTCAGACGTCGACCAGTTTGTCCATTTAGTAAAGTCGATGAATGAGTCGACGAAGTTAAAAAGCCTTTTTTGATAAATTTGTATTATGTGTTTTTGTTTAATATTTTTAATTCTAATATTATTTTACATAAATTAGAACATTTTTATAAGATTTTTTAATATTTTTTCACCACGTAGTGATTCAAAAAATTTTGCAATATAACATATCAAAGTGCCACCTAGATACTAATTTTTGGTCCCTGGAAATTACACCAACTAATAAAATCGGCCAATTGGATAAGATTAAGCCAATTTGATTACACACATCCAAACCATTTGTAAATGAGTATGAAACAAGTCCACCAAATTCATCTTTTGGAAATCAATCATCAGAAAGTAACCCACCAGGATTGGAATCAAATGGATTACCGTTTCCTAATTTGATCAAAGTTTGAGGGCTTCAGTAGTTGCAATGAAACAAGGAAATGGAAGCAGAGTAGTCAGTCCTGTAGGAAGATATATTCCACTTAGTAATTCTCATGATGAACATCATCGATCTTCACATATCACAATTAATTTGATTCCTTCAAACTGGACAACCTAGGAAACAAATTCACAACAGAGAAAAGTTACATGTTGTCACAATCCAAATTAATGATTAACAGGGCGATCAAGAATTGAGAAAAGAAAAAAAAAAAAGTTTCAATGCTCGCAAGCCTGAAAACCTGATGAATGCTCTGGAGGATAAACAGAGAGCTTGAATTTGTTGCTTCGATTGCCTCTGTTAGCTTGTTCAAGCCTCAAAACCTGAAGTCTCCTAGCAGAGGAAGCTACCAGTGGGTTTGTGCAATGAAGGATCACTGACTGAAGGCACGGAATATCGGCCAAACCGTGCGGAATAGCCTGAAGCTTATCGCAACAGTTGAGTTCCAGGCTTCTCAGTTCCGGAAAATAATCCCTTGAAGCTTCCCATGACACCAAATCAGTGCGCCCGATGTGCAAGTGTTTGAGACGGAGGAAACCGCCTCGTCCGGTTTTCCACACTTGTCCTTGAAATGCATGTTCTTTCAGCTTGAGAACCTCAAGGTTATCAAGCTCCCCTAATGTAGACATATATTTCCAGTCCAGCAGTGTATTCAACAGCGTGATCTTTGTTAATTGCCGCGGAAAGCTTCTAGATGGAGGAAGAGCGCTGAGCTTAGAGCTCACGTCGTCATTCATTAGCTTCAAGTTTTCAAGAGATTCCAACTTGCTCAGATACTTAAATAAACTCGGTTCAGCACTACTAACCTCAAACAGCCTTGACAATGAGCCATAAATGCCGAGTTTCTTAAGTTTGGGAGTCCAATCAAAGACTTCTTTTTCGCAACTTTCAGGTGAAATGGTGCATAGTGTTTGGACATTTTTGTATGATAGAGCATCATCCATTATTTTCTGTCTTTTTTGACGGCTATTGGTCGCCAGGGAAGGCAAACTAGTTGATGCATTGGTATGCAGATGCCGGAATTGTGGCATCTTCCATACCTCGGCTTTGATCTGTAGGCTGCGAGAAGTGGTGTTTACTATGAGAGTTTGCAAATTCCACAAGTTTAAAATGGCTGGAGGGAGGATTGAAAATGTGCCGGAAATGGCTATATACTTCAAAAGAACAAGGCCACACATGTCAGGCGGGGACCGATCAAACAAGAATGGTTGGACCTCCAACACCCTGAGAAGCTTGAAAGCCTTTGGGATGAATGAACTAAGTTTTGCTTCCAATTGTGTTTCTTCTTTATGACAAGCTAAGAAAGAACGGACACACTTACCTGGAGGCGGTCCTCTAGAAAGGTAATCTGAAACATTGACATTGTTGATGCAAAGGCGGCGATATTGATCAATGGTCGGATTTTCAGATAAAAAGGAAGGCAGGTTATCCTTGTTGATTTCTTGGAAAAAGTTCTCTTCCTTTGCTTCTTTCTTGCAGAACTCGCGGAGCGTATCATGCACATGACAGGTTTTTATTCTGTCATTTGACCTCCGTTGTCCAACCATTACCAAGTTTCTACAAACAAGCTCTTCCAGATATTGCTCTGCAATATCTTCCAAGTTGAAACTCTCCGCCTGTCGTATGAGCCCTTCAGATACCCACAGACGCACTAATTTCCACACAGGTATCTCAAAGTCTTCGCGAAACACACCGAGATAAAGGAAACAAGGTTTCAAGTGGTTTGGCAAGTGCTTATACATCAATTCTATCACCTTGATGGCTTGTGCCGCATCCATGACTATGTAATCCTTCACGCTGTTGGCCACATGTTTCCACCAATCGGCTCTTTTCGGATGATTGAAAATAACACCTGCAATAACCACCAGAGCTAAAGGCAAACCAGCGCATTTGTTAGCAATTTCCACCTCGTAGCTTTGTAACTCCTCAGGGCATTCATCTTTATGAAAAACCCTCCACCTAAGTAACTTTCGGCTGTCTTCCAATGGTAGAAACTCCAGCTTATAAATGGCGTCGTTATTGATTCGGTTCGCATGCCTTGCCACGCTTTCATTGCGAGTGGTTACGAGGACTCGACACCGTTTGTTTTCATTATAAGGAAACGCATCTTTGAATTTATCCCAATCTTTTGTCTCCCAAACATCGTCCAACACGATTAAGTAATGTTTTCCCTCTAATTGTTTCTTGAGATATTCTTCCAACTCTGCCTCATCCATCTTAGTAACCTCACTGTCACTCTGGGTAACAGAATTCAAAATTTTTAGCAACACTTCCTTCTTGTCATATTCTCTTGAAATGTAGACAAACGCCCGAATCATGTACTCGTAATCAACATCAGGATCCTTGTACACCATCTTGGCAAGGGTTGTCTTCCCCAGTCCTAACATCCCAACTATCGAAATAGTTTCAAGATGTTCTACTCCTCCTGTTAGAAGTCTTACCACCCTTTCGGCAGCGCCATCAAACCCAATCACATGCTCTTCCTCAACTTTAGGCATCTTTCGTATGAAACCCAAATCAACAATAGGAAGGGAAACCTTAGTACAAGTAATATGGTATACTAACACTTCAATGTAATTTGGCTTCCATAAATGGTACATGCATCATTATCTAGAAACTTCAAATGAGGAGTTTGTACTTTAAATTTCGATGTACAATATTGATTTTTATCTGCCGAGTTTACAGCATTCTAAAATTGTTCTACTGAACTGTCACATTTATATTAGTAGTGAATATTTTCACTCTTTTTTCCTATTGAACTGTCACATTTATATCAGTGTATAATTTCACTCTTGACTCTTCCAATCACTAGAAATCACATCATTGCAACAAGAAAAGAATATAGATGGACTAAGCAATAATAGAAACACAGGAGAAAAACCGATAATCGAAGTAGTTTTGTAGTGGTGTTTACCTCAGAAGATTTTCCGCGGCGATCAAGGTTAATGTTGGCCTCAAGTTGAAGCAGATCAATTCTACTCTTCAACTTTTCATCCATGATCTTCCCAATTTTGACACCCACATCTTCGATTTTTTTCCCGGAGGATCGAAGGAGGAAGGGATAATCTTTGAGTTTATAGAAAGTTTTAACCACCCAATTCCTTTTACTATCCACGGCGGCCTGAAGTAGGTAAGTATCAACAGTGTCTTCAGCTTCCAGAATCACTTCTTTCATTTCTTTCACGGTTTGCCGGATGAACTCGCTGTCGTGATCGTACTTGGTGAAATCATTCATCAAGCCCTGGAGAGTCTTGAGCTCCTGTTGGAGTTTCAGAATGTTGTCCTTAACATTTGCAACTAGATGATAGTTGTAGCTGAGTACTTGGGTGAGATTGTCCAGCAGGAAACTCACAGCAGCATCTGGAATAACTGACATTGTTTCTGTTTCTTTTTTCATATTTTTTTCTGTGTAAACAAAGAATGACACTCAAAGCTACCGGGAGCAGGGGAGGAGGAGAAGAAGAAGAATTCAAATGCACCCGACACAGATTATAAGGGTTCAATAGAGCTGCTTAATTTGTCTCCCCACATCAAAATGGTGGCTAGTTTTTTCATTAATTTGACAGATTCGGAGCAACTTCTCAGGTAAAGTCTTCCTTTCTTTGATAATTTACTTTTTGGGTTAATTTGCATAATCCAAGACGACCAAGACTCCAAACTGTGAGTCTTCTCTTTTTGATGAACAGAGGCAAGTCTTTCTTTAACAATAAACTCCATCTATCTCAAAATGATTATCTTGTTTGTTGTATTTCTTCCGTTCTAAAATTATTGTACAGATTTTTATCTATAATACAAATTGAAATAAAAGTAAAAAATTCAAACTATACAATACTTTAGAAGAGAGGGAATATTTAATTATAATTACAAACAACATAATCGTTTAGGAAAAAGGGAGTATTTTTGTTCCTTTGAATCAAAGGTCAGCATCCCATATTGGCACTTAATTACCCCCGTGAAGACGTTTTTACCAAAATATGACTTTAATGGAAGTAGCTGGATAAACATATATTTTTTTAGAGAGTGTAGACAAATTTAATCATGACGAATTTACCAAATCCGTAACTAAAAACAATCGGATTAGGCAAATTCGAATCTTCTTATTTTTCTGAAAAATAGAACTCTCACACGATAAGTAGATTTGGATTTGTCAAATCTGAATTTAATACAAAATGAGTAGAACGTATTTGGTAAATTCCGACAGAATTACTTTTGTCCACCTAAAACAGTAAAAAACTTATTTTTATCCACATTTATTTTAGGGAAAAATTTTTGGAGTAGCACCCAACCCACCAGCCCGATGCGCTATATATTCACTTCACACTTGTTACCGTTTACCAAAGACTTCTAAAGTCAGTCTTTCTTTACAGAGAGATTACTCTTAAAATCTGAAGAAGTCTCAAGTCAAATGTTGTCTTTGTTTACTGCAATTTAGGGATAATTCATAGTTGGGGCCCCGCTTTTAGCTGAACCATGTGATCATAGGCGCTCTTCATCATTTTGAATGCTACGGGGACATTCAATATCAAATGACCCACTATGCTTGTCTTGACTTTGCATCCAAATTGCGGTAGTCAATACGCTTTTGAATGCTACAGACCACGGAATCAATTGGCCACATGCTTTTCCTTGATTTTGCATGCAAATTGCTAGATGGAATAAAATTTTTTTTTCTGAAATAGCAATTCACTATAAATATGGTATGTATCCATTTAAAATTATCTCGTGTTTTTGTATTTAAAAAAGAAAGAAAAAAGAAAAAAATTCAACTTACAATTATCTCAAAAGTGGTTGCATTTTTGATAATGTTAATTAGCCTAAACATCATTACTTCAACTTGTTTATTCTTTCTTTTGCTTGATTTCATATGCATTGTCTCATTCTTGTCTGTAGTCTGATCCAATCAAGAACACATTTTTAATCCCACGCTCGTGAGAAAGTATTTGACTTGAGTTACTCAGCTCTATACCTTGAAAGACTGTTTCAAGCCAATTGTTTTTAAAACCGGACCTGAATGCTAACCTGTCTAAGAAGTCAACTGTCTGAATTGGCTAAGATCGTGATTCTCCAGCAGCAGCCTGTAGAGTGTTTTTTTTTTTTTCCCCTTTGTCATGCAGTTACATCGGTATCAAGTCGACAAACAATGATTCATGTTATATCCCCCAATTACGCAACCGGTGTCTTTTTAAAAGTAATTTGTTTCTCATATCTATAAAGTCCACGTCCAGAAACAGTTGACTCTTGTATAATATATACACTCCATCGTCTAATATTGTATTTTATTGACTAATTGGGATTGGAATCAGGTAAATTCATTTGTGAGAGTAAAACTCTCCCAAAAATGTGTAAAACTTTCTAGTGATTATAAAAGGAAAAAAAAAAAAAACAAAAAACAAATAGGAGGTGTTTTAGGCAGGAGGGGGTAAAAAGTCATAGGTGATTACTGATTAAGAAAGACAATAAGAACCACCAAGCATTTGGTCCAATTGGTAACGGTATTAGGTCAGTTTAACTGTGACTCGAGTTTGAAACAGACATAGGTATACAGCAATGATTAAAATAATTGTTGAGAGCCTTTTGAATCCCGAGAGGAATTACCCGATTCGAATCTGGATTAGTCAGAATAATGAATTAATTTGAGGGGAAAAAAAAGAAAGAGAAAATGATGGACATTTTCTGAACTTGTGATGAAACAAGAACCACGATTTCATCACGACATGCATCAACGCATTGTAGTATTTCTTTCTTTTTAATCTGAGAACTGAGAAGAAGTCAGGAGTCTGCTGCTATGGCCCTATGGCCTTTAATATCCCATCAATCTCTTACATTATTCCAGTATCTATCTCTATCTATTGCCTTTTCTCTAGAGTCTTTGATTTTTCCTTAATGCTGTGGCCTTAAAAAGTTTTATTTACGCCCCTTTTCATCTTTTCTTTCCCCCTTCAATCTTGTTCCTTCCCTTGCTTCAATTTCGCCATTCACACGGTTGATTTCCCACCCTTTTCAGTTTTTGCACATTCTTCCCCAGACAGAAAAACAAACACAAATATGTCATCCACTCGTATTATTTCTTGCATTGATTCTGCATTACATGATGTGGAATTCCTGTTTAAAACTTTTCCTCCCTTCGGGCTCCGCTTTGAGTGGCTTAAACTCTTGTTAAACAAACTCAAGACGTTTGTAGTTCTTTCTGTGGCAAAGTTGAACAACCATGATGCAAATTTTGTATCATTCCTGAGAAACATTGAGGACACCGTTGTCGAAAATGCAGGAGAACTTCATCGTTGTTGTCTTCATTTGGAAGTTGATCCCAATGATTTGCCATTCCAAATGGTTGAAATCTTCGAGCACGGAATCTCTAGCTTGGAGAAAGAAATCGACGAATGGTACGTTAAAATGATGGATTTCAGGCTGCGGGAATCAAGTAACAATTCCCCTGTTTCCACAGAAGAAATCTCCACAATCATCCATTCCGATTTGGAGATTCTACGGTTCATGTGTAAGGTGGAAGATTTAGAAGAAGCTGCGGAAGCTTTGGTTGAGCAGATGGGGTTCTTGCAGAGTTTCATCCGCTTTGTTGCGAATCCCTCACAAGATTTATTAGCTCATTCTGAAGCTGTTGCTATAGATGTACATCTTCTTTTCTACTGTCCTAAAGCATTTGAACAGCTTAAGCTTGATGGTGAACATCTCGATAAGGGAAAGTGCAAGGAAATACTTTTGACATATGTGCGAAAGATCAAGCCAAATGATAATCCTCATGTCTATGTGATTTACACTCAAGCCTTGATCTCAAAAAAATCACTTTCTCAAACTGATCATCAGGACATGGCTGACGAAGACTTTGTCACGGCGAAGAATTTCTTTGACTCTCTCGTGTCATGTCTGTGGGAGATTCTACTTCTGAATAGCTCTGATCACGTTGTTTCTATGAAGGATGAACTGAAACAATTCTATGAAGGACTGAGATCCTTGAGAGCCATTCTTAATAAGCACCGGCATCATCAGGTATACAATTTTGAGGCAGATATGGTATCTGTGTTGTGTGATGCCGGAGTCTTCATTTTCTCATTCTGTCAAACACATACAGAATCAGATCTTAGATTTCTTCATGAGTTGTTGCAAAAAATCTATATTGTTTTAGCAAAAGTTGGAGAAGGGGATCCAGAACTACAAATGTGCAACTTTCCCAAGACTAATCAGTTGGGTTTTGTCGATTTTGTATTGGACAAACTGATAGAGGTGAAGAGTTGCAGAACTGAATCGATTAGCAAGATTCAAGATGTTCAAACAATCCATGACGGACTTGTTGCCTTCAGGTCATTTTTAGAGGACATTAGACCATTGTGTTACCAACAGAAGGAACTCCAATCTCTATGGGATCGGGTCATGGAGCTGGCTTACAGGGTGGAGAGTCTCATTGATCACTTATTTGTTGCTGATTATCAGCATACTTCTCCAGCATCAATTCATTCCATCATGGAAGACATCATGAATATGAAGCTCGAAATCAAAGACAAAAGACCAGAATTTGAGGGCAAAAGACAAGAAATCAAAGTGAAAGAAGCAACCAGGGATTACAGCTATGCGCCGCCACAAACAACTCTCTCAAAAACAACCAATGAGGTGGTAGGTTTCGATGATTATGCAGTATCAATTATTGATGAACTAGCAAGAGGTTCAACACATTTGCGAGTTGTCGCCATTGTAGGCATGCCAGGAATAGGTAAGACCACATTGGCTACAAAAGTTTACAAAGACATTTCCGTTTCACAGCATTTCCATCTTCGTGCTTGGTGCACTATTTCACAAGTTGTGCACAAAAAGTATGTATTTCTTCAACTTTTGAATCAGATTGATCCTGACAGCAATTTTTCTATGCTCAATGAGCAAGATCTAGTAGAAACCTTCTGGCGCAGGTTGAAAGGGAAAAGGTATCTCATACTTTTGGATGATATATGGGACCATGAGGCATGGAATACCTTGGCGGGATCATTCCCTGATGATAATATTGGCAGTAGACTTATTTTAACAAGTCGTTGTGATAATGTTGCTCCTTCTCAGATGCTCGTCGACCAAAAACCACATTTTCTTCAGCCACTCGATGAAAAAGAGAGCTTTGACTTATTGCAGGGGAAGTTATTGCATGGAAATGTTAGCTGGAATCCTGGTTTAAGTGATCTTGTCATGCAAATTGCTACATCCTGTAAGGGCTTACCGCTAACAATCGTCATTGTAGCTGGACTTCTATCCACTATAGAGCCAAATGGTTGGGAGAAAATTCGGAATGATTTGAGCTCAAGTGGTGCATGCATAATAGAGCACTGCATGAACACACTGGAACTCAGCTATGCACATTTAGCAGATGATTTAAGGCCGTGCTTTCTCTATTTAGCGGCATTTCCAGAAGATGTACAAATTTCAGCCAAGAGATTGCTGCATCTATGGATGGCAGAAGGCTTTGTTCGCAAAGTAAAAGGAAAGCGCATAGAAGATGTTGCTGAAGATTATTTGAATACTTTGGTTGGCAAAAGCTTAATAATGGTTGCCAAAAGAAGATGGGATGGAGGGGTCAAAACATGCCGAGTTCACGACCTGCTTCATGATTTTTGCTTACAAAAAGTCCAAGATGAACAGTTTTTCCATGTCCTAAAGGGATATGACGAGCTTTCAGCATTTAATGAACCACGCAACCTTCGAAGGTTGTGCATTCACTCTGAGCAACAGGAATTTAATGAGGCAAAATTATTTTGTCCTCGTGCACGTTCTTTGCTTTTCAACTCCTCTGGAACCCAAGAGTTGCAAAGTACCTCATTGTGGCTTCACAGCTTCAAACTTCTAAGGGTGCTGGATTTGGAGAAGATATATATACGATCTGGATTCCCAAGTGAAATAGAAGTACTTGTTCAGTTAGCCTTCCTGGCAATCAGAGGCCACTTCCGTCACATTCCATCACTGATAGATCAGCTCCCAAATTTGGAAACTCTAATTTTGATATCAGGGTTCGATTACTTGCTATTGCCAGACAGTATATGGAATCTACAAAGGTTAAAGTATCTTCACCTAAGGAGTAGCCAACATGATGGTGGTGGTATTTTGTCAATTAACAATCTTGATAGCTTTTCCATTTTACCAGAGCTTGATAGGTTTTCAGGCGCGGTTATTCCTTCCTGGAGCAGCATGGAAACGCTAATGAGAAAGTTTCCAAACATTCGTAAGTTGAAATGCTATATGTGCCGTAATCAGGAAGATAATATTCCGGGAAATTTTGATGGAATTGTGTCTCTTGACTTTCTGAATCAACTAGAATCACTTCATTTGTCTAGCCGTAGTCCACCCACTAATTTTGAGTTGCGTTTGCCTACTCATCTCAAGAAGCTGAGCTTGTCGAATTTTGTGTTGTCTTTGAGGAATATTTCACTCATCGGTGAATTGCCAAACCTTCGAGTCCTCAAATTAGTCCAAATATGCTTTGCAGGGAACACATGGGAAATAGGAGAAGGAGAATTCTGCAAACTCAAAATCTTGAAATTGCTTCAGCCTAAAGGCCTTATTACCTGGAGAGCTTGTGATGATCAATTTGACTGTCTTCAGGAGTTGACATTGGCTGGTGGTGTAAATTTGAAAGAAATGCCTTCTTGTCTAGAGTACATTCCGATGCTTGAAACAATTTCGCTCTTTTGGCCTTCGAAGACTGTAGTGGATTTGGTGAAAAAGATTCAGAAAGAACAGCTGGATTGGGGAAATTCAAATCTCAAGGTCTCTATTGAAGGATGGGATTGATTTTTCTTCTCCTCTTGATCAGGTTGATGTTGTTTATATTAGTATAATGCTCGGTTCATCTGAGTCACAATATTCAGTGGTGTTTAATATTTTGTAGAAAAGGCTGCATATCTGTGTATCTTCAAGGCAATGAATCTGTCACAATATTCAGTTCATATTGTTGAAAACTTCTCTTGTCCTGAAAGTCGCCCTGCATTAAAAAAATAAAGGCCAACTTTGATCTCTCTCTTCTCCAAAAGAAACCATTTCAGATACTTAATGCTTCATTAGAATTTGGTGTACTTCTGTTCAAAAATGAAATACTCCATATAAAGTGCATAACTTTGTCTAGGATAAGTATTTTCCTACGAATGATAAGTGAGTGTGGTTTTTCTCTTGAGAAGAAGTTGATTGAGACATGGTTTGGATATTATTTTTTTTTTTTCTAAATTATGTGTTTTAGATCTTCTGTGAGTACATGGTCTTCATTATATACAACTCTATAGTATATATATATAAAATACTCCATATAAAGTGCATAACTTTGTCTAGGATAAGTATTTTCCTACGAATGATAAGTGAGTGTGGTTTTTCTCTTGAGAAGAAGTTGATTGAGACATGGTTTGGATATTATTTTTTTTTTTTCTAAATTATGTGTTTTAGATCTTCTGTGAGTACATGGTCTTCATTATATACAACTCTATAGTATATATATATAAAATACTCCATATAAAGTGCATAACTTTGTCTAGGATAAGTATTTTCCTACGAATGATAAGTGAGTGTGGTTTTTCTCTTGAGAAGAAGTTGATTGAGACATGGTTTGGATATTATTTTTTTTTTTTCTAAATTATGTGTTTTAGATCTTCTGTGAGTACATGGTCTTCATTATATACAACTCTATAGTATATATATATATATATATATATATATATATATACACACACGCTATATAATATCATGATTTTAGAAAAAGCAAAAAGAGCTCAGTCTCAGTCAATCATCACGTTGCCTTGGGCAAATCACCCAACTTCCAAAATTTTACTCTTTTGAGCCCATCTTTCCATTACCATTTTTTTTCCCCTTAACTCTTCATTGGTACGAGTCTCCTATAAAACTTTTCTGTTACGTTTAGTGTGGTAACAATTAAATGATGAACATGTATTATATCATATTTAATAACGAGTGATTAGTTCATTTCGTTAAAATTAAACAATACAATAGATAAAGACTAGATTCTTCTATGTTGTTGTTTTACTGGTTGTTATACCAACCCTGAAGAAAATGATGGACCGTCCTCATTTGTGAAGAGTCTAACAAAGGTGAAAAAAAAAAGATGGTGGTATTTGTATAATATAATAATAATCACTATTAAAATTTGAGCATATGCTAAAATGGCATCCACCTATATTATTATTAAATTTTTGATCCACTTTCTCTTGTCCTTCCACCCACTACAAAACAATCAATCCTTCAGCGGTTTCACGCTCAGGCCCCTGCCCCTCGATCCTTAAACTGTAAGTAGTTTTTGGTGTTTTTTCATCTGAGCCAAAAATCAAATTATTCACTCGAATTAATCATTAATCTCAAAATCAATCGGGGTCAGAACTCAGAACTGAAAAGGCAAAAAACCATGCCTTACGGTTCAGTCTTTGCTTCCATAGAGAGCCAACTGCAATGGCTGAAAGATACCAAGTACAGTTACTCCCACAGCAATCATATCAGCCCCAGCGTTTTCCAGATCCCCGATAAGCTGAAGGAGACAAAACCCCAGTCCTACATTCCCCAATTTGTTGGGCTCGGACCCTATCACCATTTTCGGCCCGAGGTCCAACTCATGAAGACCAAAAAGCTCGACGCCATTCGTGAAATCCTGGGGATCCAGGACGTAGACGAGTTCTGGGATAAAGTAGCCCGATTCAATGACGCCAACAATGACTTGGAACCCAAATGTCGTTCGTGTTATGATCAACTTTTCGAGCTGGATACGATGGTGCTGGCGTGGGTCCTGATTGTGGACGCCGCGTTCTTGATCTACTTCATTCGGACATGTTTGAAACGCGACAAAAGTGTTTGGGACCAGATTTATGTGGATATGGAGGAGGATTTGGTTCCGGATGTATTCATGCTGGAGAATCAGATCCCATTCATCCTCGTAAATCTTGTCCTTAAGACTCTCGAAATTTCGGGTACTGAAAGCTGCGCCGACGACTTCAACCGTTTCTGCCTCGAGAATTCCCCGATTTATGTACGAAGTTTGCAAGATATCCCGAAACTAAGAGATCCCAAAACCGTGTTTGAAGGCAGCAGGCACATGATTGATTATATGTACAAGATGATTCTTCAAGATCGCCCGGTCCCACTTACTCTTCTTGCAGATCTAAAGAAGATATTCTTGGACTGCATCATTTCCATATTTCAGATAATACTAACGGGCGGATTGATCACTCTTTTGCCTTTTTTCCAGCGCAATACCGAGAGATTTTGGTTCGTCGTGTCGGAATTCAAGTCTGCCTTTTTCGCAGGACAAACTAAACCGAAGCCTGAGGAAATCGTACTGACTCGACGGAGGAAACTAATCCTGAAAAACAGTTTTTCAGTTGAAGAAATTCCTTCGGTGTCCAGGTTGTGTGGAATTCTTAGCATGCGAGTGATGCCGCTTCCGGAAGGCCGGGGCATTACTCATATGGGTTTGTCGGAGGAAAAGTCTGAACTCCGTTTGCCGAGAATCGTAATGAGATCCAGCAGTTCAGAGACTATTCTCAGGAATTTGGTTGCTTATGAATTAGCCTTACCAAAAGGGGCGGGGGGTTCGACCCCTTTGCGGGATTTTGTCAATCTAATGTGTGGACTCGTGAAATCGAAGAAAGACGTGGAATTGTTAAGGAGTAATGGGATTATAGAGAAGGAGATAAGTACGATGTCGGATGATGAGATTCTTGAGGTCTGGAACGGATTGAAGAATTCGGTTTCCGGCTGCGGTGGGGTCCAGATCATTTCGGACGTGAAGGAAGTGTTCGAGGGGGCAAGATTTGTCAGATGGACGAGATGGGTTGTCGGAGGTGTAGTCAAGTTTCTGAATTATTTTTCATTCTTAACCTGGTTTGTCAGGTGGATTACGGATTTGATTTCCCTTTTCAAGCCGGTGATTCTGTTACTTGGCGCCGCCCTCATTGGCTATGGTTCTGCTTGTGGTATCCACGGCTGCGACCGAAACCCTGCTGGCGGTGGAGATGCGGCTTTACATATGGCTGGATTCATGCTCCCCAGGAAGTTTCTTCCACAATGATTTTATTCATCAACTCTCACCTTGTATTCTTGTACTAGTAGCTTAAATAATTATAGGTGAGCAAAAACTTAAACACACACACACACACACACATTTCTAAGGCTATATTCGGTTTGCCTTTTAGCGAGTTTTTTCATAATTAAATATTAATAATTGTCACATTCCATCTTTTTTGCATTTCTAATAGGAAAAAACCTAAAAACACACACCAAAAGAATAATCCAAACATAGCATGAGTTTATTGGTTAAGTCTTGTGTAATTTATTTGTCTCGCATGATTAAGGTCCTGTAAATATTTTTGGGTACATAAAAAATGGGAGAAAAAAAAAAGAAAAAGAAAGAGAGGAGGATCCTCTGCCCAAAAAAAAAAAAATCAAATTTGTTCGAAAAATAATACAAATATCAAACTCTAGACTAATTTTTTGGAGGACAGAAAGGTAACTATAAATTTAAGGTTACCTGGTTAATAGGTATCGCTAAAAAAAAAACGGGATTTAAAAACGCCGTTAAGCGTCCCATTAGATTAACACATAACGTTTTAGGAAGATTAGTTAAACGTCTTGTAGTAGGCGTCTTAAGGACGCAAATAAGTATCCTAATGAATGAAAGCGTCCTATTATGTAATACTAATGTTGACCAGCAATCTTCGATTTTAGGACACTTTGAAAGGCCATAAAATGGTATTCCTTGATAGGACGTTTAACTGTGTGCTATTAATCTCAATTTTAAAGACTTTTAAAAACGTCCCAGTAAGATTATCAAATGGGAAGCTTTTAAATGTCCCAATAAAATAATTAATGGAATGTTTTTAAGGGTCCCAACAAACGCCTATCAAATAAAAAAAATAAAATAAATCCAATTTAGTAGTAATGGACCTTTGAAGAATAAATAGTAGAGCTCCAAAATATAATATACATTGCAAATATTTCAAGTCACTAGCAAATAAAATATATATAAAATGAAAAGGTTGAAGTAATGCATTTCAATATTGAAGATTTGAAGATGCCCTCTATTTGGAGGAAGGTTTTCTCATTCTAAAGAGGCAAAAATATAATAGCAGTACTCTTGCCTCCATAAACATAGGCGTGATTGCAAAAAGCCACCAACATTTGAGAGCAGCAACAACAGGTCCTCCAAAGGTCCTTCAACTTATCCATGTAGTTTTTTCCAATTCAAACGAGGCCTCTTAGTTGCCAAAGTATGGTAACTTCTCAAAACAGCAACCTTTACTGAAATCAATATTAAACAAATATAGTAGCATTACTAGGACAATACTAGGACAATACTTGGACAATATCCTCTCAAGTGAATTAAAATTTTGAAGTGAGAATAATCTTCAGCAATCTACAAAGTAGTTAAAATCAAAACAAAAAAACTTAAATAATGAGTATTTGGTGCAGCACAGATAAGGGACATCGAGATGCTCTAAAGCAGATTAAAACGAAAGAATATAAGTGTCTCAAAATATGGAACTAGACACAAGAGCCTCAGATAAGCGACATGTTGAATTAAAAGCACAGGCATACTAAAGACTTTGTTCAAGAAAGATGAAAGAAACACAATGGAATACTTATGTACAGAAAAGAAAAATAAGATGCTTTTCTGGTGTGGTTTTATCAATGTCAAGACCTAATGTCTACGAAGGAGAACGAACACATCATGTGAAAGCAATTCTGGTGAAAGTAGATAAATTTTGTTGGTCGTGACTTATGAATTTTTCAGCATTCGGGTGACAAAGGGTCATATTCAAAGGTGATTTGTGAACCAACCATTAGTCATTTTAACAAACCGTTGAAACAGTGGCAAATTATGATAAGTGGAGAGAGGTTCCACAAAAAGGAAACAGAGAAAAAGGTTTAGAAAACCAAGAGAAACAAATCTTCTAAAACAGTACATCATGCCAGATTCTCAGAGCAAATTTTCAGATTTTGTGTCGCACTCAAATTGAATTTCTGGACAAACCACAACTTCTTTTCATGAGCCGCTAAAACTGAAATAAACTACTTCAAATGTAAGAGATTTTCATGTAAAGAAACCTCAAAAAACAACTCAGAGAAAAGGAGTAACTAACCCATAAACAGACACTTAGAATCTGATTTTTCTTCAGATTTTCAGTCACGGACAAGTCATGTTCAAATCATGTTTTTTGACAATCCACATCTCCGTTTAGATATCCGTAAAAACTACAAGAAACTATATTGAACAAAGATGATTTTCATGAAAGAAATCCTTGAAAAGCATTAGCCAGCTAAGAGAAAAAGCTCAAGCTCTCTCAACAGAGGACAGCAAATTCCATGTTTTGCACTTTTGTAATACTACTGCAAACAATACAACGTTTCAATTTGAACTTCTTGGGATCAGTGTAGCCGTTCCGGATTGAACCGGGACGCGTTTCATGCGCGTCCCAGTCGCGCCGCTGGATGGCTTTCTTGGCCGTTCTGGCGGCCATAATTTTTTTTTTCTTTTTCTACAATTCACAATTTTTTTTAAAAAAAAACGTATCCGTGATGAGATCGGCTATTTCCCGCTTTGATTCTTCCATGTTGCCATCAATTTTGGATCAAATTAGACTTCAAATTGGGGTTTAGAAGGGAAATGACTTCAAGTTTTCTCTCTTTTTTCCTTTGGTGGAAGTTTGAAATGTTAAGGACAAAATGATCCAATTTTTTTTAAGATGGCTTTGAGCAGTAAAGATGGTAACTTCAAAAACTAACACCCTTTCCCAAAAGGCGTGGCTTTCCCTTCTTTGATTCAGACGTAGTGTAGTCAGAGCTAAGCCCTTGATCACAACCAAGCAATTCAGATTGTCAACCGCTAATTGAGAATAGTTAAATCCATTCATTTTTAATACTTTTTATATGGATTTATGCATTTGTAATTAGGGAATCAATTCTAATTATTGACATCATTATTAATTTGTTATTGTTGTATGTTTTATCTTGCAATCTTTCACTAATCTAAAAATAATAATTATCTTAGTTGAACTAAAATATATATATATGTATATATAGATATACAGATATGTATATATATATATATATATGTATATTGATGTGTCAATTTGGAACAAAAAATACAATCAAATTATTTTAGTTGAGATGGTAAAGGACAAAAGTGGGGTTGTTAGATTTGAATTAGATAAATTATTTCCAGATTTTAGAAAGGCAAAAAGCTCAATATTAGTCAGTCATCACGTTGCCTTGAGCACATCACCCAATTTTTTAGCCTTCTTTAATTGTCCATTAAATGGTCCGTAAATTTTAATTATTACAATAATATTTTTATTTACAAATGTAAGGTATAACAACTTTGGTCAGGGAATCATTTGAACAAAATGGTGTGCTAATAAATTTTTTATAAATATAATGGGGGGACAAAATCACAATGATGAAACGTGACGGAAATAGTTTAATAATGCAATTTGGCCCTTCAATCGACGTTTTTGATCTTGTTTATTGTGAACTTTCGAGACTTTTCATATTATTGTCTCATGCGGTGGCCCTTTCTGGCCTGCTATCGAGTCATTTTTAAAAAAATTCATCTTTATGGTTGGAGTAGAACTTAATGAACTGAGGTGCTAATTTTTTAAAATTTAAATTTATAGGTTCACATCACATGTAGATAAAAGAAAGGGAGAATTTGTCTTTATTTTTTATTTTTTATTTTTTGAGGAAGGCGTCATAGCTTAATTAGTTACTAAACTACTATATGTACGTACGGATAACAGTTCCTCACATAACTTTATACGAACAAAAACTTTTAGCAGAAGCAATAGTTTTTTATAGTGTACTTACTATATATGTTGAACCAATAAAACTACGCAAAAAAAATAAAAAAGGTGCATCACTTTCCTCTAAGACAGGTTTCAAAACGTCACGCATTACTTAATTAATTTGCCAGCGCCAGGTAGATCTGGTGTAGTACAAATGACTTCATTTGATAGTTGACTATCTTTATAATCTTCTTCTTTGGATCAAAATGATGTACGCAGAGATTTCAATCTCGCTTTGATTCTAAAATTCACATGGGGCTAATTTAAGAGGAAAAACTATTGTGGAAGGACATTTTGATAGCTAAGTATGATGTTAACACGGAAACGGCTCCTGCGGATATATCTAGGGTCAAAGCTACTGTTTTGTGGAAACAAATCTCGAAGCTCTGGTTGGTAGTTGTTAAAGGAATACGATGGATTGTGAATGATGGTAGACGTATCAAGTTCTGGCTTGATAACTGGATAGGAACTGAGGGCCCCCTGCTTATCTATGCTAAACATGACATCCCAACAGTTGATAGATGCAGGAAAGTAGCCGAGTTCGTAGACGAATCTGGGGAGTGGGATTGGGATAAACTTGATCAGCTTCTACCCCCTGAAATCATAGAGAGAATCAGAGCTGTCCCCCCACCGTTAAAAGAGCAAGAATCGGATTGTCCGGTATGGAAATATACGGAATCCGGGAAATTCTCCACCAGCTCGGCTTATAAGTTACTGGCAGAGAGGAACTGAGAAGTGGAAAAGAAGCACTGGACACTGGTTTGGACATGGAAAGGACTAGAAAGAGTTAAAACTTTTCTGTGGTTGTTAATGAAAGAAGCCCTTATGTCCAATGTTGAAAGGAAAAGGCGGCATCTATCGAATAACAGTTGCTGTCATTTCTGTGGACATGAAGAAACCCTTCTGCACATTTTTAGAGATTGTTTCAGAAGCAAAGAAGTCTGGAGAAGCTTTGACACACCCCTGAGAGCTGACTTCTGGTACGTCTCGGATATTGAAACTTGGCTAATAGCTAACCTTAAATCTTCTATGGTGAAGGAACAGTATGCATGGCCACTGTGGTTTGGTATAAGTTGCTGGAAATTGTGGAATTCCAGGAACAAAGAAATTTTTGGAGAGGAAGTCATTTCTGTAAGGGTACTTAAATGCGGAATCCGTGCGCTGGTGAGAGAAGTGGCGCGTACGAACCAAATTTATACACGAGGTGCGTATCGACAAAGCAGTACCTCTGATCAACAACTGTGGACACCACCTCTAGCGGAGTGGGTCAAGATCAATTCAGATGGTGCCACCATCCAAGCCACCAACAAGTTGGCAGCCGGAGGAACCATTCGAGATAGCAACGGTGAGTGGATAATTGGATATACGACAAATATAGGCGTTTGCAGTAGCCTAGAGGCAGAATTATGGGGAGCCCTTTTTGGGTTACAAATTGCATGGGATCTAGGACTCAGGAAAGTTGAATTAGAACTAGATTGCTCCAAGGCTGTTGATATGTTGTCTAAGGAAAACATGATATCGTTTCCTGTCTATAGTAATGTAGCTA